TATTCTGCTAAATCCTGATTTCATCTTGTAACGCTAACCAGAATGTGGCCCAGGATCTATGTCCAGTGCACGTGTTAGCAGTTGCAAGGCAGCAAAATGCCTAATTTGTCCCTGGGTGGGCTTGAACCACCAACCTTTCAGTTAACAGCTGAATGCGCTAACCGATTGCGCCACAGAGACTTAGTGAAAAGTCACCTACAGTGGTAGAAACGCGTAACTTTGTCTCAAAGTCTGCTACATGAAACCTTATGTAAGTTTGCTGGGAGAGAGAGAGAAAAGTAACAGGAACGCCCAACGTGGGGCTCGAACCCACGACCCTGAGATTAAGAGTCTCATGCTCTACCGACTGAGCTAGCCGGGCTGATGAGAAGCTGTTTTAGGAACCAGAAACCCTTTACAGTAATACCTTCCTACCCGTGACAATCTTCTGCTAAATCCTGATTTCATCTTGTAACGCTGGACAGAATGTGGCCCAGGATCTATGTCCAGTGCACGTGCTAGCAGTTGCAAGGCAGCAAAGTGCGTAATTCGTCAGTGGGTGGGCTCGAATCACCAACCTTTGGGTCATTATATCTTGTTTAATACCCATTTTATTCATTTATACTATTCATTTTATTTATTTACTCATTTATATTAATATGCGAATATGTCTCAATAAATAATTAAAACTTTGTTAATTAGTTGAGTGCTATAGGTCTTACAAAAGCCTTTTATCTAAAAATAGCATAAAAACTCTTAACTGTACATAAGCTCATTGATCTCTCCATTTTTCTTCTTAAAATAGGTCTCTGGTAATTCATCTTCATCGCCCAACTATTTTTTTTTTCAATTATTTCAATGCAGTCTTTTGGTATTGCTTTTTTCAACTCATGACATTGTCTTTGTAATTTTGCTTTAACAACTCTTTTATACCCATCCTCCACAATTACTTTTAATGGTACAAATCCTTTTATTACTTCATATAATACATCTTTAACTTGTCTTAATCCTCCGTCCCACCATTCCTTAAAATATAAAACATTTCCTTCACTTAAAATTGTTGAATTCAGTAAAAGTGGTTGTTCTAGAATCTGCGCCCTTGCTTTTGGTATAATCAACACATTTTCTAAAAATCCCCCTCATGATTCTAAGACCTCAACATAAAATTTTGGCAGACCTGCTATCATCCGTTTCTTCATCTTCATCAATAAAACATTACATCCCATATTAAAATGTCCACATTTCTTCAAATAATAACCCAACACACTTTTCCAAATCACACCCATTTTCCCTTCCAAAAACCTTTGAATAATCTTAATTGTTAATGTTTTCATTTTTAAAAAACTATCCAAAAGTCCCAGACCTCCTTCTTTTACCTCCCCAATCAAAGTATAATAAGCAATCTTGGCTCTTCCATTTCCCCAAAAAAAACTTTAAAACTACATCATTTATTTTTTCATAGTATACTTCAGGCAACGCAGTTACACTTAACACATACCAGACCTTTGACAACATTAAAGCATTTAAGATGAATACTTTCCTTTTAACGTCAAGTTTCTAGCTTTCCAAAATCTCAGTCTTTTCTCAATTCCATTTAAAACTCTCTCAATTTAAAATATCTGCTTTATTAGAATCCATCCCCACCCAAATTCCCAACATTTTTGTATGTTCCTTTTCTTCTTTAAAGGGTATATGTTGTGTTATTTCTTTTACTCTTCCCACCCTCAAGCATAAACTTTTTCCAACATTAACCTTAGCTCCTGATGCTTTACAATATCGCTCTAAAATCCCCAACAATGTAGTATCATCAGCGTATTGATACACAGCTTCTCTGTTGTCATTGTTTTCTATTTGTATCCCTTTAATTGTATCCCCAGTGGCTCAGCTTCCAGTGTGTATAATAAAGCAGTCAATGGACATCCTTGCCTTATTGACCTAGTTGGTTGAAGACATTCTGTTAAAAAAAATACATTTAATACAAGTTAAAATATCTGTATAAAAAAATTTGAATCCATTTTCTAAAATTTTCCCCAAAACCAAACTCCTTAAGAACTGCAAATAAAAAATCATGCTCTACCCTGTCAAAAGCCTTCTCCAGATCTAAACCTATTAAACCCCCCCCCCCCCTTTCTCTTTTTCTTGCATATAGTAGACAATTTAGCTTACCCAATTCACCTGTACCGCATGTTTTTTCGATTGTGGGGAAAACCAGAGCACCCAGAGGAAACCCACGTGAACACTGGGAGAACATGCAAACTCCACACAGAAATGCCAACTGACCAGCGCACAGTACTGTGTGTGTGTGTGTATGTATACATATATTGCATAAACTTTTCTAATATATTTGTTTTTGTTTTATTATTAATTTAATTTGTATTTATTTACTTTTTTACGGTAAATACAAGTGTCATTACTATACGCAATTTTTTTCCTATATTTGTGTCTGCCTATTATTGTAATTGTATTACTTCTTCCTTGTTTATGCTTGTAATGCCTACTTGGTTTGCATATTTTTTGAACATTTAATAAAAATAAATTAATTAATAAAAACATAAAAATTAGATGTAGTGTATAATCCCAAATCTTATTTTAAAAAAGTTGGTGGTATGGAGTTTCTTTTAAAGTGTGACTTTAAGATTCATAAACTCATATTAGGCTAAAAAAAGTCTCCTCTTTCTCTTTTCTTCTGGAGAAAGTATTATTTGTTTTATTTCAGCTCGAATAAAAGCTGTTTTTTATTCTAAACTTTATACTTAAACCATTTTAAAGACAAAACCATTAGCCCCTTTAAGCTATTTTTTCCCCAATAGTCTACAGAACAAACCATCCTTATACAATAACTTGTCTTATTTAATTTCATCATGTCAAACATAAAATAAATCAGTTATTAGAGATTAGTTATTAAAACTATTATGTTTAAAAATGTGCCGAAAAAATCTAATCTCCATTATACAGAAAATTATTTTTTTTACTTGTTCAAACTACTTAATTAAAATGTGCTGAAATAACACAATTATTGAGATTTCATTGGGACAACTTAATGTTCAGTCGACATACATTTTTTAAAAGTGTTAAGTTAACTTAATTTGTGTTGTGACAACATGAAAGAATTGTGTGGAACCCTGCAGAAATATGGTGATCGGTTCATAATAAGTTTAAGCACATTTTCAGATTTTACTGTATTTGGCTTAACCGTTCTTGGGTGGCTCGCCAATGTATAGATGACTAATGCATAAAATAAGTAAGCTGACCAAAGTTCTTAAAGGGAGAAGACTTTATTGAAGACAATGTTAACAATGTTAGTTGATGTTACCTTGTCCATCTTCAAGTAACTTAAACCAAAGTACAGTCTGTGAGACACTGATGAAACCCCCCTGGAGATTACCCAACTGCTTTGGTTGGGTCACATCTCTTGAGTTCCTGTAGGTTATTTGGTTCACACCTTACCAGAAGCAGATACTTGTTGCATATGAAACAAGCCAATACAATATATCAACATATAGAGTTATTTTGCCTTCTTGCAGCCCGATAGCAACTCTCACAACCTCGTACTGGGCTGTGACCCCTGATCTACACTACAAAACAGCTGGCAAAATCTTCACCCCTCTTCAGTTGAGTTTAAATTTTCAGGTGTTCAAAGGGTTTCATTATCATTAACTTGATATGCATTCAAGAGTTCACACTTGTTTGGCATGCTGTCCCGGGAGAGACCTAAGCTCATAAGATCCTCAAGCCCTGGGCTCCCTCCCGTTAGCAGGACGAGAGGGGAGTGTGAGCTCAGGTAGATCGGCTAAAGGGAGATATAAGGCTTACTAAGAGCTCGACTATGGTGCCAATTTAATGTTCAGTTTACTTAGGTTGTGTGTTTTTGGACTGTGGGAGAAAACCAGGGGAAATCCACGCGAGCACAGGGAGAATGAGCAAACTCTGCACAAAAAGTCAACTGGTTAGCAGCGACTTTAACCTGCGATATTCTTACTGTGAGGCAACTGTGCTAACCACTGGCTAATCATTGGCTGCTGTGTTGCCCAATCTAGAAAGGGGGGGAAGTAAGGGTGGGAGAGGGATTCTTCAAGACAAGGATAACTGAGTTAAGCTACGGTCACACTGGGCTTTTCCTCCCATAGACTTCCATTCATACGCACACGAATGCGTCAGACTAGAAACAAGTTCATGCGTCAAGTTTCACCGGTTGCTGAGGTGCAAAGTTCATGCTTGGTGAACTCTGACCTGCGAAATCGCATCACTTGACTGCGTGAGACCAATCGAGGATCAAAACATGACCTCTCTGGACAGAAATTTAAACCATGGAGCAATTGCTCACTTTTTTAATTTCTAAAAATCTTGTTTGATCCCGCCCCTTTCCACAGCGCCGTATGGCAGAATTTCACAATCTCAAAGTCCAGTGTGACCGCAGCTTTGTGTTCTGGTTATCTATAGTGAGTCAGGAATCATCTGATTGGTGAATCATGTTTTAGCTAAAGCAGGACCAGCCGTTGACAATCATAAGCATGTGATCCTCTCGAAAGTAGTTTATAAATAATCTTCACTTGAATGAACAGACAAACTACATGAACAAGCTGCCGTTTTGAATATACCCGTGTTTGTGTGGACAAGGCCTCAATGTTGAGGACTCTGCTCTCCATTGTGAAGCTTCATGTGAGTGTTGAGGCTTCTTTTACTTTTAAAGCCCTTTCCACACTCACTGCATCTAAATCGATCCTCTCTTGAGTGAGTCTTCATGTGTTGCTTAATGGTGTCTTTCCGTGTGAGACTCTTTCCACACTGATCACATGTGAACACTATGGTTCCAGTGTGACCATTCATGTGGTTCTTGAGGCTAAATTTGGTTGTGAAGCTCTTTCCACACTGATCACATGTAAACGGCTTCTCTCCGGTGTGTGTTCTCATGTGGTGATTGAGTGTGTTTTTATGTGGGAAACTTTTACCACACTCTGTGCATGTGTAAGGTTTCTCTCCAGTGTGAATCCTCATGTGGATGTAAAGGTCTTGTTTTTTACCTAAACTCTTTCCACACTGTTCGCAGGTGTAAGGTTTCTCCCTAGTGTGAACTCTCATGTGAGCAATCAGGTTCAGCTTTTTACTGAAACTCTTTCTACACTGTTTACAGCTGAAAGGCTTCTCTCCAGTGTGAATTCTCATGTGCACATCCAAGTTTCTTGCATGGCGGAAGCTTTTTCCACACTGTTGGCATGTGTACGGCCTCTCTCCAGTGTGAATTCTCATGTGGGTTTTAAAGCTTTGTTTTTGACTAAAACTCTTTCCACACTGTTCGCAGGTGTAAGGTTTCTCCCCTGTGTGAACTCTCATGTGAACATCAAGGTTTGGCTTTTGACTGAAACTCTTTCCACACTGTTTACAGCTGAAAGGCTTCTCCCCAGTGTGAATTCTCATGTGTGCTGCAAAGTGTCCAGCATGATAAAAGCTTTTTTCACACTGTTGGCATGTGTATGGCTTCTCTCTAGTGTGAATTCTCATGTGAGCTTTAAAGCTTTGTTTTTGACCAAAACTCTTTCCACACTGTTCGCAGGTGAAAGGTTGCTCCCTAGTGTGAACTCTCATGTGAACATCAAGGTTTGACTTCTGACTGAAACTCTTTCTACACTGTTTACAGCTGAAATTACACCCCAATTTGGATTTCCAAGGTCTTCCGTGTGAAGTCTTTTTAGTCAGTGTGGGTTTTTTATCAGTCGTTATTTCTTGGGGTTTCTCAAACTGCTGCTTCTCATCTATTTCATTCTGTTGATGAGTCTCTTCTTTCAGCACCATCAGATCTAAAAAAAAAAAGAAGTTAGCTTTAGTATGAAGACTCAAAGCGACAAGCAAGAAATTAATGTTTTCACCCAAATATTAAAATGAACTTACCATTTACTCTCCGTCATGTGGTTTGAAACTTTCCTTTATTGTGGAACACAGTAAGCCAGTAGCGTTTTTTTTTTTTAATATCTACTTTTGTGTTCAACAGGATTAAGAAACTCATAAAGGTTTAAATCCACACGAGGAAGAGTAAATGTGAGGCTATTTTCATTTCTACATCAACTATTCCTTTAAAAGGTTTCTACAATTACCCATTTTTTACATGATGTAAAATAAGTCTTTGGTGTTCCCAGAATGTGTCTGAGGTTTCAGCTCAAAATCAGATCGTACACCTTGTAGAATATTTAATTTTGGGGGTCAGCGGAAAACCAAGCTCTTTTTGTGCCTGTGGCTTTAAAATGCAAATAACCAAATGCACTCGCTCTAGATTACTCGTGTTGTTTCATCGATTGAGATAAATTCTGCATGTTCATAGCAAGTATGCATAATTCACGCTTAAATTTGCAAGTTTGAATTATTGTATAAAACTTATGCAAATGCTTAATACCACGTTTGCTTTAAACTGGAGTAATGAGGAGACGGCAAGATGACACGCTTTGCTACTTGTTTCCATTTATTTGTACTTTTGTTTTTGTTTTCTTGTCTTTGTGCATGTCCTGAGGCTTAGCTGAAGACCTACTTGGTGACATTGTATATACCTGACAAGATGCAGAAATGCCATCTAAATAGGTTACTTGCGGTTTGTCCAATATACAAATATAAATATACAAAATAATAATGATAACCCAGGGTTTACGAATGTGAAATGTCTGTTAATGAACATCCAGGATTATTGTTTAACCCCAGGTATAGCATGAGCAGTGTGGAAGGTGACTACTGATAACCCAGAATTTATCCAGGGTTAGAATGACCCAGGGTTAACAATTTGAAGTGTGAAAAGCCCTAAGAATACTCAGCATCAGCTCTCAGGATAAACAGAGTATAATGACAAACAGCGACAATTGTCAATCACGTCATGATGACCTGGGACCTGTTTCAGTAAGGAGGTTCAACCAACTCAGAGTTTAAACTTGAACTCTGAGTTGATTTACAGAGAGATTAAATACTCAGAGTTTTCAATTTCAGAAAAACATTTGAGCTACAAAAGTCTTTCATTCAAGAGCAGTGAGGGATTTTCTCCTTTTTGTTGTTTGAATAATGATAAAAACAGTTGGCAGCAGGAATATTGCGCACTGTCACTTTAAGAATAGTGCGGCTCTGATATGGTTTCTCTTTCACATGTCTTGATTCTCAACTTGTTTGTTTATTATACAAATGAGGGTTAATATGAATAATCACTAAACACCACACAAATTTGTATGTATTTGACCATTAAAGCGCTCACATTAAGATGGCGTTAGATTTGTGTTCTCTGCTTGTCTCCGAGCCTGTCCTAGGCTAAGCGCAGCACACACAGAGCATGTGCACTTACACACTTTTAAAAATAGGAATGATGCGCGTCCCGTGCTGCAAAAGTTACATTACAGCACATGCTTTTAGTCATTTTCACGTGGAACTGAGCTTTGCAGAGCAACAAATGTGTACAACTGGAAAGGGGGTGGTATATGATGGAATAATCGTTTATTTCGATTAATGGTTTTTCATAATCATTAGAAGCCAAAATCGAAATCGCAACCAGATTTTCGATTAATTGCACAGCCCTATCAAGTAGTAGAGGTTGATATGACATTTAAAATGTAAGCAGGACTAAAAAAATCTTTTTAGAACGAGTAATAATCTGGTGGAGGCCTGTGTTTGGAGTTCTGGAATGCGTGGCGTGACGATTCGGGACACTTCATGTTTCTGCTGCATCACTGAGTATCTGGTGTGCCGTGTCCGCCGCATTCGGTGCCTCAGTCAAAGTTAATTCAGTGTGTGTGGTTATTTGTCTCGGTGTACAAGCTCGGCACTTGTACACCGAGACTATACAAAGACACAAATGATTTTGTACGACTGAATGCTCAACCTAGCTTAGCTTCTCTCTCGGTCTGTCAGCCTGTCTGTTGCAAACACAGAGCATGGAAGCTCTTGGCTCTGCCCCCTTGTTATGTTGGGCGGGAAGCGGAAACTGTGAAGCAACACGCCCCTAAAACAGCAAACTGTGTAAACGCCCCCAACATCACACTTTTGAACACATTATAATAAAAACATCTGAACTGTGTGTTGAACTGAACCTAAACTGGCACACTCAGAAGAACCATAATAATAAAATTAAATCATAAAAAAGGGGTAAACTATGTACCCTTTAAGCTTATCATTCATTAAAAAAGGACAAGCCAGTCTTTTACGTGACTTTGTTCTTTGTGTAACTGAAATGTAGGCAATAGTTTATTCAAAAAATGCGAATTAAATTTTTGCGCACATAAAAGATGTGCGAATAAAGCAGTGTTTCCATTTAATGAATCAAAGAGAACAAAATCATCACTTACTGAATAATTGGCGCCAAATATCAACAGTAAAAACCCAGAGTTTTTCTCATTTCAGGGCTAAAATACTCTGAGTTTACACTTAACCTTCTTTCTGGAACAGGGACCCGATCTCATATGCTATTGTTTTAGAACTTCAGTTGCCTATTGGACAAATGACCAGGAATAATAAATGGCAGAAAACGGTCACACTACTTGCTCTGCAAACATGGGTGTTCATGTCTATACATACAAAGAAAATAAAAAAATTAAGAAAATATGACTTTGCAACATCAAGCAGCATTAGGCATGGACCAGTATAAGATTCTGACGATATGATAACCTTGAATAAAAATATCACACTTTCACAGTACTGATTACTGCTCTAAAATATATTCTTTTAAATGTCTGGGTAAAAAACAAACACTTTTTCCTTTTTGAACACAAAACATTTTCTTTTGAGAAACTTTTTTAATAATTTGGAGCAGTAAACATGTCAGGCTAAATTATTCAATTGAATCCTTAACTTCTGCTGTCTTTATTTGTTTCAAAAACACAGATTTCTTTACAATTTAAATCAGCATCTTTGGATATCTTTTTTGCTGGAGATACTGTTGTCCTGAAAAACTTAAAACAATATGTAAATAAAAAAACTTACATATGACAATTACAGCAGAAAAAATTGGTGGTTTTAAAACCTTGACTTTTTTTAAACTGCATTATACTTTGAAAATGGTTATTGTCCCATGCCTCAGCAGAACAACACTGTTTTTAGGATCTAAAAATGTATTCTTTAAAAAAAAAGTCTCAAGCAAAAAGATTCCAATGGCGCCGCCTGCTGGTACATGTAGAATATGGTTAATATTCTGACGAAATTTACACTCAGATGTTTGCATATCATCAGCATGCTGTAATCCATTTCTTAATCAGCAAAAGTCATTTTAAACTAGTTTGTTGGCCAGTTGTAGTCAGTGCAATGCTAAACGTTATTGTGCCATTATAATTTGTTTGTTTTGTCTCACGTCATCCCACAACAACAACATATAGTTTAGATTACTGTACAATGTTTTATAATAACAATTAATTATTTTAATGTCCATTTCATTCAGCATATTTCAAATTAAGGGCATCCACATTTTCTGACATACTTTAAATCAGGGTTTCTGCAGGTTTCACCAAGTTAAATTTAAGACTTTTAAAGACCTTTTTAAGACCATTATGAATGAAATTTTAGATTAAGGAATTTTTCAAATGCCCCAGATGAAAAAGATTTTTATTTGTCCTATCAAAAAATATAAAAATTTTATACATTTAATGATACAATAATAAATTAATAATAATGTTAAAATATTTTAGATATTTCTTAGCAAAAAATCTTAAATATTGCGTAAAAACAAGAGAGCTCGATTAGGATCCACACACTTTTTTCCAAAATAAACTTTCTTTAAAATAAAAAACAAATGAACAAAAGTTAAAAAAACTAAAATAATCTAAATCTATGAACAACAATCTGTCCAGGTCTATGTCCTCAGCAGTAAATACATGGAGCACGTTTAAACAAATGAAGTACGAAAATAATTAAACTATTATAATAAATAAAGTTAAAATGATCTTTTTGAATGAAAAGTTTAAAGATTTATTTAGATGGATTATTGGTGATTGTATGGGTTTTGGCCAGATTGGTTAACAAAACATGAACAAAGGAAAATGAAGACTTGTTTAAGAAGATTTAAGACCTACAACACAGTATTTCAGTAAATTTAAGACTTTTAATGTGAGCGCTTTAATGATCAAATACATGCAAATTTGTGTGGTGTTTAATTTTAGGTTTTCGAATTTAAGACATTTTAAGACCCTGCGGGTATTAAATAGATCATATCTGTGAGAACTAGTAACAACGACTAAAAACAAGTTTAAACCCATAAAGAAGTTGATGAAAAAAGGGAATTGTGATCAACTTGACATATGCAAATGGAAAGTACTAAGCCAACACCATCACTGTAATAGCAGATATCTTCTATGAGAATACTGTAGGTCAAATATCGTCAGCTCAGTTAAACTTTTTTAATTTATTGTTTTTATTTACTTCATATAGCACCAGTGCTCAAGGACACTTTACAGACAGTAGGAGAA